GCGCCGACCTGAAAGCCTTTTATCGACATCCCCCTTATGCCTCGTAGGATGAGGTTTACAGGGGATGTCGATAAAAGGTTTTCATGTCGGCAGAGGAATGTCCAGACTAGCGCGCTGAGCCGACAAACAGCTGATCAGCTGTTTGTCGGCTCAGTGCAGCAACCATGTAAATTTAAATGAAGCCGCGATTATTTAAATCGTGGCTTCATTTCCCTTTGCCAAAAAAACAAATCTACATGGCTCCGTCCATGTAGTTTAGACGTACCCTTACAGACTAACTTAGTTACCCTTCTGAAGCTATAGATCATTTAAGAACAGAATAAATCCCAGTCCGGAAGGTTTGGGGCTTAAATTTGATGGGATCATTTCCAGTGAGTGAAATGTAGGCTGGGAGCTGTGAAATGCTGGGAAGGCGCATTGGCATTCTTGCTCGTTATTGTTAGCAATAGCTGTGAATCATTACCACTGCTTCGTTTTCAGAAGGGGAACATGATAGGACTTCAGGGGACCCCACTACACTTCCAGAACCATAGGGCCTGGCTCATTTTGGCTCCCAACCCTGAAAGCCAAAAAAACTCACCAGATTTGGGGTACGTGACTATCACAATGTCACCTGGCCTGCTCTGGAAGTTGTCAATCCTTTCCCAGTTGTATGAAAACGCGCAGACCATTGGAATACCGTGGACTGTCCTCCAGTCCTGCCGAAAGTTATCATCTGGTGAAGCCATGCTGTGGGGGAGAGTTAAACAGAGCACAGATGGGAGAGCAGCTGGACAGGAAACTGTTACAGTCTCAGTGTTTTCTGACACTCCATGGAATGTAATGGATTTCTTTCTTTCTTTCTTTCTTTCTTTCTTTCTTTCTTTCTTTCTTTCTTTCTTTCTTTCTTTCTTTCTTTCTTTCTTTCTTTCTTTCTTTCTTTCTTTCTTTCTTTCTTTCTTTCTTTCTTTCTTTCTTTCTTTCTTTCTTTCTTTCTTTCTTTCTTTCTTTCTTTCTTTCTTTCTTTCTTTCTTTCTTTCTTTCTTTTTCACTGCAGCAGCTGGTCTGTCCTTCTCCACCTGTTTAATCATGCTTGCCCTTGGCTTTGTTTCCATTAAAAGCTGAGGCCGCAATGAAATTTCTGAGGAGCATGCACCGCACCACATTTCATAACATTATATAACAGACAGCTGTATGTCATGAAAAGGTTTGTTGCTCAGCTTTCCTACCTATGGGCTCCTTTGTAACAACAATATCAAGAAATAGCTTTTAAAAACTGGAGAGAAGCAAAGGAACAAATCTCTGTAGCAGGTCAGACCCACGTACTGTGATCCTGCTGTATGTGATGGGTGGGGACTCAGGAAACCTGCAGTCTGTTCTCAGCTGCACCTTGTTCCTGGCAAGTTACTTAACCTCTGTGTGCCTCTGATCCCCATCTGCAAAGTGGAGAAGATAATAGTCCCTTTCTTATGTGCTTGGTCTATTTAGTCTCTTCAGGGGTAGCAGCTGACTTGCTATGTGTTTGTACAGCACCTAACACAACAGAGCCCTGAATTTAATCCAGGTCTCTAGCTGTCACCGTAACAAAAATAATATTAATCATTTCTTGTAACAATTTTTTTCCCAGGAGAGATCATTGGGTTAGTTTAGGCTGCTTCCTAGTGTTTTCACCAAGCCAACATGTGGAGAATCCATCACTCAGCACTTATTCCTTACATACACTGGGCATGTTCTGAGGCACAGACCCAGTGGCACAGAAATGTCCGTCCCAAAGGATGGACTGTTACGCCCTAGGAATGCAGAGCCTGGAGTAAGTTATTGCTCCAGACTCCAAGGGCACGTCTACAGTTAAACTCTCATGGCTGGCCTGTGTCAGCTGACTCAAGCTTGCAGGCTCAGGCTATTTGGGCCTTCCTATCAAGGACTCCCAGTGCATGGGCTCCAGGCCAAGTCTGAACTGGACTAGTCCTACATGGCAATGTGCAGCCCCAGTCCTGTGAGCCCGACTCTGCTGACATAGGCCATCTGCAGGTGTTTAACAGCGGTGTAAATATAACCCGAGGAGAGAAGGTGGACACAGTCATAGCCCAAGATAGAGCAACACTGAGCACTTATGGAAATCTCACAAACTGCATTCTGTGAAATCTGGAGATCAAATCTATTACACCCTGAAAAGAGATTTGATAGATATAAGCGGTTTCTGTCTGCATCTGTCTGCAAATCCATTTGTTCGAGAACTCCACCTAAATGGTAAGAGCTCGACCACCTAATTTGGTAGGTAGCTTCCTCTTCTCCTAACTTCAAGCAAGATCAGGGTTTGGTTGTGTCAGGACAATGGGATGTGCCTGGAATGGGATTGTTTCTCATCAAACAGAAAGCGAAAGTTTTACTATATAATGGCCACAGGGGGCAGCAATAGGCCAGAGATGGGGATTGGAACCACTAAAACCCTGTTGGGACAACAAGGGGGAAGGGTGGAGAAAGGAACAGCTATCTACCATATATTTCAGAGAGTTTGCTTGTGTGTCTGTCTCCCAACCAGAGGACAGGAATCCCTCCCCCAGCTGTGCCCACTGCATCTGCAGCAGCCAGGGAGAGGCGCTTCTCACCTGGCTCCAACCTGCTGGGGTGAGAGAGGGCTTAGATTGTTCTCTGTTCTCGGGGCAGCCTGTATCCTGAACCCTTCATCCCCAGCCCCACACCAGAGGAATGATTTAAATGAAGAAAAACAAAACATTTGAGTTAAGGAGCCAACCAATGCGGAGTAAATCTTCTAGTCCATACTTAGAACTTATCTGCAACAAGTTAAATAACCGTGTTCTATGACCCAAAACTATTTGATCATAAAACTTTCAGCCATGCAATGCAGCAGGGCTGTAACCACCATGACCAGAAGGAACACACAGCATTCTCATTCCCTGAATGAACAACAAACTTCACACAGTAAGGACATTTTGTTAGTGACAGAGGCAAACACTGCTGTTCTTCAGTGTGTGTGTGTGAGATAGTCTGCTTGAAATCAGGTGGCTTTGAATCATTCCCAAATGACTGACAGTGTCACCTCTCATTATCCCTAACGATCCCTCTGAAATCCCACCAACACTCCAGGCAAGAAAGGACCTATTTTCCTCTGAAAAGAACAAATGAAAAATATTTTAATTGCTGTTTCTTCCTTTTAGAAATTGCTATGCACACACGTTTTAGAGGAAGTCAAATGACACTGGATGCTGTAAGCTAGCAAGTGATTTACCACTGTGGATCTTGAACTCATATGTAAACTAGCAGACAATTCATTATCCAGCTAGCTGTCTATAACACTGACCGTTTCTGCTGCCCTAAAGCAAAATGAGACGTGAGTCAAAGCCACAATACAATTATAAATCTGTTTTGAAACAACGCCTGCAGTTATTTCCATCCTGAGTGCACGCTGCTCCGCCGCCCAGGTCTTAAAGGGGAAAATGAAAAAAACTGTGCATTGAACATTCCGCTCTGGGAAGTTTGCAATGTCAAATCCTATTAAAATTGTCCAGGTTTCTTCCTGGATGTGTGTCCCAGCAATACTAGCCAGGGTGTTCTGCCTGGCTGTGCGTGGGGACATTAGAACAGACAAACAAACTGCTAAAAGTTACAGGTCATAGAGTTGAAGACCCACTTTACCTTTCTCCTCTGCTGGTGCTGCTGTGGTGAAGAGAAGGAAAGGCAGCTGTATGTGAACTGGCATGATCTGCCCCAGGAGATTGTGAAAGGATTGGGGCGGGCTCATTGTGTCGGCGAGAACATAAA